TTCATACGAAACATTTTTCTCTATCCCTACTAGTTTTCGAGATATTTGACTGGATCACTTCAGATGGTCCACCCTGTATAAACATTTTGTCCAAAATTCAAGTCATTCGGATAAAAATTGGCCGATTATGTGAGCGCCCAGTTACGAAAACGTGGTTTCGAGAAATACGTGTTTAAAGTTTACAACCAATTAGTTTATATAAAACGTTTATATTAATAAATATAATAAATTAGTTTATATAAAATTTCCTAACGAACCAAAGTGCGTCCAATCCTGGTGCATATGAAGTGCCTTCTGTAACAATTACAGCAAGTTCTTCGGCCTCGTTTCTGCTTTGCTTTCTTCACAATCTTTCCTCACGCGTCGCTGCTTGCGCTCGGAGGTCTGCAAGTGAAAGCCGTTGTTTATCCTTGTTGTCGCGAAATTGTGATGCTGACGATCCAATTCCAACTCCCAGCAGCTCCATTATTTTTATAATATATCGGTGTATCCATTATTAAAAATACAAACAGCGATGTTTGCAGCGATTTCTGTAGCTCCACTTGATGTTGTTTTTGGATTGATGCTCCAAATCATGTTGTTAAAACTCTCATTATTATTTTGAGTAAAACCACCCAAGCATTTCTCAAGTAACCTTTCGTCACTCAAATCTTCATAAATGGGAGTGATTGCATCGATGACTGTATCTGGAAGCGGTGCTTTGTGTATATAATCACTTTGTCCTACAGCTTTTGCTCGCTGCCAAGTGCACCAAGAATCTGGTCCCTCCGGGACAATAATCGTGTTTCGAATTGTTGTCAGATGAACTCTTGTGATACAGAGTAGCCCAAATTACCTTATACATTTCATCCACAGAATTCTGATGTCTGCAAATGGCTAGCCCATAAAAAATACTTAAATCATCAATTAATTTTGCTGTAAGTTTTCCTTTGCCTCCTAATCGTTTATTTTCTTTTTTGTATGTGGTTGATGCACTCTTTTTTTGTAGCAGGGTACGGCATCGAATCGACGATTGCTTTGAAAGTTTTACTGTCACCGTCTCCAATATAATTTATGTAGCGAACACTGTGAAGATCTTCGGATCTTAGGAACATTTCGCGAATCCCTCCAATTGACCTCCATTTTTCCAGAGGAGCCTTCATGATTTGCC